CAAAATTTTGATATGCATTATTTTATTTTTTATTTATGTAGTGATCTATTAAAAATTAAGGGCTTGAATTGAAATGACTTTTGGAGTTTTTAAAATCTAAAAACTAAAAAAAATTGACAATCAAATTTTTATAAAAATAGTTTTCCTCAAACCAATATAAGTCACTTTCATAAAAAAAAATCAACTAAAAATTAAAAAAACTCTTTTATTTGGATTTACAAAAACCAAAAATTAAAACAAAAAACTCAAAATAAAAGTCACTATATCATTCAAATCCTAAGAATCAAATTATCATAAGGTGAAAAGTATGACGACTCTTGTGAAAACATCATTATGTAATTTCACTTTCAATTTATGAAATTAGAAATTAAAATAACTTTTTCTGTAATTTTAAATTATGTTGTTATTAAATCAAATACACATAATGATGAATTTATTGATTTCTATTATGTTTAGACGTAGAAACAGTTGAACCAATTTCAGAAGCATCCAAATTCATTACAAAAATAGATTATGTTATAATATCGATTTTATTCGATTTATTTCTACAATTTAAATATATGAGCGACCTAGATTTATTTATTTATGCAAAATTTGGTTTCATATTTAATCTAAAATATATTAACATGTTCCTTTTTCAACATACTTCGACCATGTTTTTAATATTGTTTTGGGTTAAGCTATTTTTAGGTTTTTTTTTCCATCTATGTATTAGTATTATTTGCGATCAAAATAGAATATATTTAATTAATTTTTTATGGACTGTCGAGAATGTTTCTATCATTTAGACGATATGCTAAAAGGATAAAGTTCTTGCAACTTGAATTAATTATTTTCTTCAATCGTAAAAACTATATTTAAATTGTTTGCATCAATATATTTTTAAGAATATTCCATTAACTCACACAATATGATTTGAATCTACCATCTCTAAAAGTTAAACAAATATCTTCAACCTATATAATATAAAAAACGTATCCAATCGATTATTTTATTAGATTTTTTCAAACATCAGATCAGAATAGGGTTAGAAGGAAAACATACGAAAGATTAATATTTTAGCCAAATGGTAATAATGAAGCAAACTTAGGAGTAAAACGATTAATCTGTGAATATCCTGATGAAGTCATACACGTCAACACATCCGCGTTGGATATGCCCACACCCCTAATACTCCACGCTAAACAATATTTAGAATCCATTTTTCCCTTTACAGCTAGAATCATTTCTTGTTATGGGACAAGCTTTTGTGTTGTCTCCAAATTCATCTAAATATTGCATTTATTTACTATTTTTATATAATGTAAACCTATTTTTATATAAATTTGATAAATTTTAAATTATCTATTCTCGTTTAGTCTTATTAAAAAATTATTCACTTGCATAACCATAATATTTATTAATATAATTAATAAATTTTATAAATTTTGGGAATTTAATTTGTAATTATAATTGCGAATGGCTTAAATTTGTGGTAAGAACATGAAAAACACTCATTTTCTACAACACAACACCAGATTCGTATACGAAGTCATTCATTTTTTAAAAACCCATAAAAGATAATTCTATTGCAGAAAAATGAAGAAAGATACATATAATATCACATGAAAAAAAATAAAAGTGTAGATGAAAATAGAAAGACATACCTTTAAAGGGATTGATTCCTATATCTAAATATTTCTGGATACCAAAAAAAAAAGTTATTCAAATTTCAAATAAACACACCAAAAGATTCCTCTCGGACAAGAATTCGAATAGAGCGAGAGAATCAATTTATCTTGGGGCTAGCAAGAGAGGGAGAGAGTGGTCGTGAAGCCAAACGAATTGGTCTGACAAAGTTTACTCACCTCTTACAAAAATCCACGGGGATTTGCAAAATAAAAATGACATAAAAAATCTTAAGATGTTAACTTTAAAAAATTAAGAAAAAGCGAAAAAAAAACACGAAAGATGAATACATATATTACCAATATTCCATGTCAACGATAAGCTTCCCAAATGGATCACAATTCCATTTCTTTTCGTTGAACATATATAGGAGATATTTTCATCAACTTTTGTCTTAAATACTAATTAAAAAGATCAATAAATATGTTTAGTAGTGGGCTAAATGAAGAGTAAGATCATGCCTCAATTTATGAGTAGAGAGAGGGCGCAAACGTCAATCGTTTAATCTAGTTAGCAATCCTTAGGGCTAGCAAGAGAGGGAGAGAGTGGTCGTGAAGCCAAACGAATTGGTCTGACAAAGTTTACTCACCTCTTACAAAAATCCACGGGGATTTGCAAAATAAAAATGACATAAAAAATCTTAAGATGTTAACTTTAAAAAATTAAGAAAAAGCGAAAAAAAAACACGAAAGATGAATACATATATTACCAATATTCCATGTCAACGATAAGCTTCCCAAATGGATCACAATTCCATTTCTTTTCGTTGAACATATATAGGAGATATTTTCATCAACTTTTGTCTTAAATACTAATTAAAAAGATCAATAAATATGTTTAGTAGTGGGCTAAATGAAGAGTAAGATCATGCCTCAATTTATGAGTAGAGAGAGGGCGCAAACGTCAATCGTTTAATTATTTATATATAATAATCTAAAAACAGTATAATAAATTATTTATATATATAGATTTTATTATATAAAACTAACAATGAAATATATTTTATTGTTATAAACAAAGATTTTAATGAACCAATTAAAATATTAACCACTGCATCAAATATATGGTTTTGAAACGTAGATACTTTTTTATATTAAATGCACCATAATTATATTTTTTTATTGTTGTCAGTTTTACTTTTTAATTTAGAAAAATAAGATATATAATATATAATATATGTGGAAATTAATGAACTAATGAGAATTGAGAAAAATGCCATATAAGATGATGATGTGTCATCACCAAATCTCTTTAAACTTCTTTATTAATATATATAGATTTTGACGTGTATTTTTATGTAAACCATTCCAAAAACCTTTTGTTTTGACTTTTTTTTTTCTTAATTCTATTAATTAAATATGTAAAAGAGTGTTCTTTCCCACACGTAAAAACGTAGTTACATCAAAAGGGATATTGATAACCCATTACCTATTTAAATTCGTTATTTTATTTTAGGGTAATCGCATAAAAATACCCGAACTTTTATAAGAATCCCAAATAAATATACGAATTATAAAATTGTCATATAAATATCTGAACTTTTCACAACTTCTACATAAATACCCAGACTTTTAATTTTTTTCCAAATCAAACACTCATCTGTTAACATCGTTAATCGCAACTGCTGACTCAACAAAAACAACCGTTGACTCAGAAAAAAAAAAATTGCTGACTCAGCATTTAAAAACATTATTAGATATCCAAATCTTCATCTATATATATTTAAATTAATATATACATATAAATTCGTATATATATACATATATATATATATATATATATATATATATATATATATATATATATATATATTAAAAATAAAATAATGATAGTATATTTCTATATGTTTTATTTGGTTTAGGGAAAGGGTCATACCTACGCATCAGGGAATGAGGTCATGTGCCCCCAAAGTCAAAATCTTTTTAAAAAATTTAAGTTAAAAATTTTACAAATTTTAATAAAAAGAGAATGGTGCCCCGTTAACTATTGAATGGGGTCTCCACTTTCAACCCTTTCACTTCTTTTTATATAATTTTTTTATTAAATTTGACTAATTTTTATAATAGTTTTTTTATGAATGTCCCGCACTGAAAAAGTTACTTGATCCTCCACTCCTTAGGGACCAAATATATTATCCCTATTTATTATTTTTTATCTATAAAAAGAAATATTGTTAGGTGGTTATCATACAGAACATAAATAATATGTGGTTCATTTCTTTAGAAGTTAAAGAAACTTCTACGACATAGGAGAATTTCAATTAATATAAAACAATTAATAAATAAAATAAAAATAAGTTCCAACGGTCGGATCTTGAAAAGCTTATGATATAAGCCATTTGGAGTGAAACAAGAAAAAAAGTGCGTCTTTTTTTTCTGTGTTATTCGGAAACTATATTTTCAAATTTACCCAAATTGTGAAAATTGATCATAAATCTAACACAAAAGAAGGAATACACTTTTTGGATTGTTAAATTAGACGAAATTATAAAGAAAAAGAAAAAAAGAATTCCAATCACTTTCAAGAAAAAAAACATTCTTTCGTCCATAATGGAATAGTCTGTGAGATATAGAGAAGATTAAATGATATTTTTTGGTATTAAGAAATGTTTTTTCCATCCATGTATTAATGTCACTTATAGACATCAAAATGTACAAAAAAAAAGTTGCAAACAAAATATGTCTACTATGAAAAAAAAAACAGAAAAATAAATATCTTCGAGTTCTTAAACGAGTCGTTTTCTATTTTCTCCCTCTTTGTCTGTGTGAGTTAATGTAATTATAAAATGTATTTTTGGTATACATAGTAATTAGCTAAAACCAATGCTTGAATTCATGTTATTTGATTTGTTCCGGTTTTTATCGGTTTAGGTGCAAAAAGCGAACTGAACATAATTGATCTAATCCAGACAAAAGCTGAAATCAAGTGCGAAATAATCCGGTTTGGACATATCGAACCCGATCTAATTGGATTTGCACCTAAACCGATAAAAACCGGAACAAAGTTCAAAAGGAACTAACTCAATTTGTGGTTCCATTTTCTTTATTTTCTCACCGACCGAGAAAATTAAATCCGACAAAACTTGAACCGAACCGGTCCGAGACACCATCCTCGGATCTCTCATCTCTCCTCCCCGACGATTTTTTTAATTCTTTTTTTAATAATAAATTATTCATTTATTTATATATAAATACAAAAATAGATGCTAAAAAGACGAGACCATCATCGTCTTGTTTTCTTCTCATCGTCTGTTGCTTGCTGCTACTGTTTCGGAACTTTCATCTGTGGTAAGAAAAAGAACCTCATCCATATGTCGAATCCAATTTCACGGATCTATAACCTCGTCTTCTGTTTTTGTTTTGCTAAGCTCATCATTTGTTTGATTTCTGTGGTTGTTTTGGGTCATTGGGTTCGTTTGATTTCTGATCCGGTGCTTCTGATTCCTTCAGTGATCAGGAAGATCTATTTGTGTTTGAGCGGAATTGAATGGTCGTTTTCTGTGCTTGATTGATTTGGAGGTGACCTTCTGTAACATTTCATGTCAGATTAGTCTGTTAGATTCTCTGTCTGTATAATCTTGAATCCGACACGCTATTTGCCTAAGTAAGGTTTTTCTCGGGAAAGCTATTATGAATCTTTTGTCTAAAATTATGCTGGTCTGAAATCTGCGATGCAGCTTAATGTTTCTTCCATTATTTTTTCTGAATTTGATTTTGGAAACCATATTGGTTTCCTTGCAATCAGATCTGTGCCTGTTGATGAATGTATTCCATGCTCTTCTTGAGCATATTTTAAGGGGTTTTCTGTCACATTAATAGAAATCAAAGGGATTGGGAGTTAGATTTGGATTTTTATTTCTGCTGTTTAAAAGGTTCATTTCAAAAGTTATTGTTAAAAGATTTTGAAATCCACCGAAATATGATGATTAGGAGTGAGATTTAGATGTTTCTTGCGATCTGTTTCTTTGCTAAATGATCTCTGCATATAGATAAATCAGTATTCACGTGTAGATCTTTCCGTTTCATCTGAATTATGCAGAAAAGGTTATAAGAGACTCGGGAATGTTCATGACCCTTTTGGTAATCTGAATCCTGTTTAAATTTTCCTGCGTATTGTCAAGTAGGGAATTGTTAACAAGGACCTTTATGTGGACCATCTGAATCTGAGCCTGTAAATTCATGTTAGTTAATGTATGTAACAGATTCAAAATATATGTTCATATAGTAATTGGATTGTTGATACGAACATGATGTTGCATACTGCATGAGCTTATGGCCTTATCTGCTTTGTGAGTTTAAAACCTATGCAACTCTTTTGTCTCTTTGGATTATCTGTGTGGGGTGTGGTTTTGACTTCATGAATTCAAAACTTGGTATATCAAATAGTATATTACGCTTAATTTGGACATGAGATCTTTTGAGTTGCCTCCTGTTCTTTTACTTTTAACTTATGTTCTTGAATTTCTCAAGTGCTTAGTTCTCCAGCAGGAGGGAACTGCCAATCCGTACGATATCTGTGGATTAACTGATTTTTTTTATACGATTAAATGATGAATTCCATTTATACGCAGACTAAATGGCGTTGGTTACTACCGCCGAAGTTTGTGATGCGAACCCACAACTCATAGTGAGCGGCGAGCTCCGTGCCCTTCAGCCAGTTTTCCAGATATATGGTCGGCGCCAGGTCTTCTCAGGACCAGTAGTCACCCTCAAAGTATTCGAAGACAATGTCTTAATACGGGAATTCCTCGAAGAGAAGGGAAATGGTCGAGTGCTTGTAGTGGACGGAGGTGGGAGCTTGAGATGCGCGATTCTCGGGGGCAATCCCGTTGTCCAAGCCCAAAACAACGGATGGGCAGGTATTGTTGTGAATGGTTGCATAAGAGATGTTGATGAGATCAATGGCTGCGATATCGGGGTCAGGGCTTTGGCTTCTCACCCGATGAAAGCCAACAAGAAAGGGATCGGGGAGAAACACGTGCCCATAAACATCGCAGGGACTAGGATCTGCGACGGTGAATGGCTTTACGCTGACACGGACGGGATCCTCGTCTCTCGAACCGAGCTCTCGGTCTGAAAATGTTGCTGTCTGTTTGTCCCTTTCACTGTAAGATCATGTCATAAGAGCTTGGATATGTTTTTTCCAAACAAAATGATGAACCTAGAGATGCGTCTCATCTCATGTATTACGGATCTTTGGGAATGTATTTTTTTTTTCGTTTTCGGTAATGTCAAAACTTCTGTTTGATAGAATTAATCTGGAGCTATATATATACACAAGTATATATGTGTGTGTACGTAAACGACATCTTCATTTTAATGCAGATTTTCTGTATCTCCTCTTGAAGAAAAAAACGCATGCAACTACCCAAGAAATTATGCTTTTCTCGTCTAAATAAATAATACTTTTTATAGGAACCATTTTTCCTAAATATAATTCTCTTAAAACAATTTATATTTTTAATCACTTAATTTGATTTTACTCAAATCAGTTTAAGGTTGTTCTGAATAAATGTAGTTTCCCAAGCTTACATATGAAGTTTTGCATGTTCTCACATCCCTCGCTATCCATAAGGTTGATTCTATGTTTCATTTTTGAACCTTTTGATCGACTCTTCATTGTCTTTCTCGCGACTCTTACTTTGGTCAGGTTACATGATTCACATGCGTTGATTAGTTCTCTTCAAACCCGGTTAAACCAAGTAAAAACCGATTAGGTGAGAGCGAGATTACCGAACCGATCTTAATCATATTCTATCAACTGTATTCGATTGAGAATCTTAACCGAGATTTATTCGATTTCCATCCGATTCGGTTTTTTGTAACGGCAAATAGACCGAAGCCGGTTACGGTTGCTGAGCCAAGACTATAAATGCCTAGAAATCCATGACGATCTTTATGAATTCATTTAAATTTATCAGAAATTCTACAAAATCAATACGAATATTGCGTCGTTCAAATCCATTAAAATATTTTAAAAGCTTAATTCAATTAGAATCCCTTAATATACACGCCTATAGACAAATGGTTCTTTACACGTTACTTTTTTCATTTTTATGTCAATTTCTTTGATAATAAAACACCATTCATAATTACAAATTATTTTATCTCCATTATTAACTTTAAATATGTGTATAATTAAGAGTTTATACATTTAAAATATTGATGTTTCCTAATTACATATATATATATATATTACAATATCTTATTATTAAACTTTTAGTTTAACCTTACATGATTTTGACAGCTATTTCAGATTTAAATATTTAAAAAATTCTCTTAAACTAATAGTAGGTAATCAAATACCCTAAAATATATATTATATGTATAAATTTTACGATCATTCTCTTCTTAGCATATTTTTCTGTAAAAGTATTGCCATAGATTTGAAATTTTAAATAACAACAGTACCAACTAATTCGCTGAATTTTTCTTTATTTTACATTTTAATTTTATTTGATTAAAAATAATTCCAATAAAGAATAGTAAATTTACGGGACAGGATTGGGTTCTATTTCCCAAAAAAGTTGTAAGCGAAGGCTCGTTGTTGTACACCTCCCCTTTAAAGAATATCATTTAAAATGAACGTATATACGTATTGTTTCGGCCGAAAAAGCCGGGAAACCGCACCGCTGATTACAGTTTTAGCGACGCGTGGCCTTTTTGTATAAATACTAAACGTTAGGGGTAATATAGTAATTCTCCTGCTCTCCGTTCCTAACAGACCAACGCTACAAAGGCTAAGAAACAACCAAACAAACAAACAAACCTCCTTTGGTATTTTTTTTTTGTAATTGAAAAAAAAAAAAATCGCTCTCTGTAACCGCATTCTCGGTCCTATGGCCGACCCAGAGGTAAAATTCGCTTCGTCTCGGCATATTTCGAGTTTATCTTCCCGATTCCGCGAAAAAAATTCAACTTTCCATTGGTTCTTTTCTTCCTCTCTTTTGGTTGCGGTTTCTATCAGGCAGATTATTTGTTCTGGTTTCGTTTCTTGTGTCAGATTTTGATCGAAAGCGGTGTTTCTAATGTGGGTCTTGACTAATCTTTTCTGGGTTTGCGATGATTTGTTGTTCTGTTTCTGTGCTTCGGTGTTTTTCCGGGTCGGAAACAGAAATTAACAGCGTTGAAGAAGGTTTACGCCGACACGATTCTGAACACGGCGAAGGAAGCAGCGGCCCGTGTGGTTGTGTCCGAGAGAAAGGCGCGTGGGTATCAGCAGGGACTGGCTTCCGGGAGGG